GCCACAACGCCCGGCTATTTTTTGGTTGCAGCCGTCATTGTTGTTTGGCGGGCCTGGGCTGGATTCGAACCCGCCACCTTAGGTGTATATGGCTGGCGCCTTAGCCGCTTGAGCCACAGGCGCCGAGCCCAGAATTTTTTTGATTGTGCACCCCAAGTGGTAATAAAATTTTAGCATGTATACCTTTTATTTGGATGTTTATCTATAAATTTTATACAGGTAGTAATGTTGGTTCTAAAATAATACTATGTTATAAAACAAACCCCTTTTTAAGCAATGAGGTAAAAAGAAAATAACAAGTTATAATACTGTCTTACCAGGCCCACATGGAAATGAACCATTTTATATACATACTATTCTGAAGACCACAATTTTTTAACCACAATGAAGTGATACTCAACTGGGACTGCAAATACTTTGTTACTGATGGTTAATTTCAAAGCTTCATTTTTCTAAGTTCTGGCAGACTGAAAGTCATCTCTATATTATGACTTTCACTTGCTTGCTCGCTGATGTATTTTCACAAGTAGTGGAGAAAAGGGTGAGATTATAGTTAATACTCTGTAGGTGGCATAATCCCAAGAAGACCCAGGGAAAGTGCTAAATAGTTGACACTGTCACATGTGCCATGCTTGCAAAATAGTTTGAGGCTCAAGTTTGAGGCTCATGGCTTTAGGTACCATCCAAAGTCACCTAACTTTCCTAAGTCTGGAGAACTGAGTCTAAATCTTAGAATACAATAAAAGTTTAAAATGTGCTTATTAGTTTCTTTATGGACTGTCAACACAGAATCTTCTGTTGGACATGGTGGCTCACACCTATAATCCTAGCACTCTGGGAAGCCAAAGCGAGTGGATCGCCTGAGCTCACAGGTTCGAGACCAGCCTGAGCAAATGCAAAACCTCCATCTCTAAAAAACAGCAGAGTGTTGTGGCAGACACCTGTAATCCCAGCAACTTGGGAGGCTGAGGCAGGAGAATTACTTGAGCCCAAGAGTTTGAGGTTGCTGTGAGTTGTGATGCCACAGAACTCTATCAAGGGCAACAAAATGAGACTATCTTTAAAAAAATAAACAAAGCACAATCTTCTATATATGACAGAAAAGGATTTGGGTATCTGAGGCGAGAAAATCCCCAAAGCCCAACTCTGGTGTTGTCAGTTACATAATCTAATGGCACCTCTCAGACCAGGAAGAGTGGTATAACTTGCAAGGTGACTTTTCTGTACTGAAGATACAGTAACTTAAGAAGCTGCTTTTCCTTAGTATTTCACTCTTTATCTTGATTACTTTTAGGGTCTGGGGCCATGTCAACAATTGTTATAAGGCAAAAGAATTAAAACATGGGCACCTTCTCATACCTCTTCTAGAAAAAAGCCATGATGTGCACCTGCCTGAAATATGGTCTCTTTTTCTTACTAGTGGTTTGGGAAAACAAATTAATAGTGAGTCTTCAGTTCCTGTAAATTCCCTTTACTAAAGGAAGATTTTCTTTTCCCCAAGGGAAACAGCTTTATATTTTTGCAGATTATATAAAGAATACATGCTCACTGTGAGGAACTAACAGGTAAAAACAGAAAGTGAAGCTCCCTTGAAATCCCACCATCCTGTGATAACCACTGGTGGCTTCATAGTGTATCATCTTGGCTGGAGTGAACTTCATTTCTCAGAATCCGCTTCCCCATGTTTCCACTTAGAGTGAACCACAGTCTTGTGTAAGATTTGGAGGGCCAAAATGAGGCAGCCGCTGTTCAGCAGCTCACACACCATGTCATGACCTACTGCCTCACCTTGTTGGCATGAATCGACATCTGGGCTTGAGCCTGAAACTGCTTTGCCCTTCTCTGGATCTTCTTTCAGCTTCTCTGATGAAGGGTTTCAGTTTCTCCAGGATTCCCACGCCTTCAAGGTCAGAGGCACAAGAACTGACACAGATTGCACGCAGTATGTCCTCATGAGCTTCAGCCTATTCCTGTGGGTTCCAGCCTGTTCTCCCCAACATTACGTCTTTTCTGACTACCTGCCCTGCCCTATGGGCTTCAGGCCCCAGCACTGGATGAGGGAGAGAGCAGCCTCACAGAAATCATTTCACCACTTCTTTATGTGTTAACTACCATGGAAATTAGAAACATTTTGATAAAACTTTGGTGAGTATATTCACATTTCTCTTACTAGGAAGGAAAATGTTAAGGAAGTCCCCTATAAATAACATTAGTCCCTAATTTTATGGATGTGGAAGATGAAGCCTTGAAGAGGAAAGGCTGGTAGATTTTGAACCAGGCTTGACTACTGTCCAAAGATTGACTTGTAAACTCCACTGACTGCTTATTTTCTTCACCACAAAACACACACACACTCCAAAAAAATCAAAGCCTCCCCTACTCTCCTAGACCAGTATGTCTTCGACAACAAGTTTTTGGCTGCGTTATCTCTTCAAAACCCATATGTACTTACCACTACAAAAACTGAAGACATACCAACCCTGTTACAAAAGTTCTTGGTGGAGGAGAGCTAGTAAAGTGATGCCAGAGGCAGGCTCTCCAGGCTTCGTGGAACTGGCACCCTGATGATTCTTTCTCTCTCTAATGCAAAATCAGTCCACATAAGACAATTTAAAAACAGCCTGAGAACTGTCCATGTGACATCATTTTTAGGAAAAGCAGACTCTGTACTGTACAGATAAAAACATGACTCAGGAGCTAGAACATAATAGTGTGGGCAGGGGCCAGATGGCAAGGAAGCAAAATGCAAAACACCAGGCTGTAATGGGTGTCATCTTGTTCTTTCGTTTCAAAGTGAAATGGGAGATAATTTAGTTCTTTGATCATAGGACTCTGCATTGGCAGATTTATAACAGCTAATTATAAAATTTGAAACATTAATGACAATGTTGAAAACCATTCTTATAAAACACTTCTAGGCTTGCATAATAGTTGTAAAGTTTCCTGTTCTCAGAGTTCTGAAGCCGCTGACAGGTGTACTGAGGACAGATAATCCCCTGCAAAGCCGCAGATGCTTCTCCAGCACAAGACATTGGCTCAGCACTCTCATGAGGATGAAGCTGATTCAAATGCAGACCCGGTTCTTACTAAATGGGAGATTAAGATTTAGATAAACAAGAAGTGTAATAAGGGTTAAGGAAAAGACAAAAGAATAAAGTCCTCCTGAGGAGAGCATTTGAGCTGAACCTTGATGTAATCCACAGGCAGTCATGACGGGAAATAAGTCTCTTTTTAAGCCATTTGCTACGTGAATTATGGGCAGGTTAGGTGATCTTTTTAAAAAGAGATGCTCAAAGGACTAAAAAGCTTTCTCCCACATACCAAAATCCTCAAAATCAGCTTTTAAATGAAGTCTCCATGATCATGTAAAGCGTTAATGTAATTCATCAATAAGATAGGGTTTAGCTGTAGCTTCCAGAAGCATTCAGACTCTATCACAACAGGGAAAATGTGGCAACAGAATAGAGAAGTATGATAAACTTATTTCTCATTGTCCAAATAGCTGTCTCAACCCTGAGATGAACACAGTGACTTCTAAGTGAGACAAAAAGAGCAGCTCAATGTTTTATGAACGTTTCCATCTCATCCAGTCTAATCACTTGGGAAGGTTAGAGCCGCAGAAAAGGCTATGAATTCTTGGTTTCAAAACCTCCTTCATTCAACAGCTTACCCAGCTGTAGGACTCCATATGGGACATTCTGCCTTTGACCTCAGAAGCCTCATCTGTGAAACAGATACTAATATCAAGAGGATCAAATGAATGCGAAAGTAACCT